TAGTTGCGCGGTCTTGCGATAGATGGTGCTGGCATATGTTAGATAAGAACAGATGTATGCGTTTGAGTAAGACAGAATGATATATATTATATAATATAATGTAAAAACTAAATCAAAGATGTCGCCACTATTATCGATATTGGAATTAAAAAAGTCTGTACTACCGACCTTGATTGAGTTGGGTAATCGGTTTAGCATCCCCTTAAAAACTTATTTTATTTATTTTATTACATTTAATATTGAAGCAAAATTGCATGGATGTGCTCATAAAACACTTTGCGCCCGTGTGAATCAAGTTAATCTATCCTTTAAATGATTGCGTAAATGAGACCTTTTTTCAACAAGTAACACACACCATCGTCACTCTCTTCTATAAGGCGATTTTTGGCGATTGTTTGGTACATATACCAAGATGTACCAAAGTATACCAAGACGTTTTCGCGTATTTGGTACTATGTGGTTAAGGCGTGGCTAACCATTTTGGTACCTCTGTGGTATATACCACGCTATACCCTGCTAGTGAGCACGGTTGTTCTTCCAAATCTCTGGTACGTAGCCAATATAGCGCCAAATATAAAATAAATAGAGCTGTAAGATATATTTTATGTCAATTTCTTCTGCATTTAGGTCCATATTTTAAACTTTTTTATCGATAAATGTCTCTAAAAATAACTTATGAGCTTTCTGATTGATTGCACGCCACTTTTAGATGAACTTCTATCGATATAAGAAAGTGCAGAATATGGATCTGAAAGGATAAGTAAGATCACTATAAGTGATTGAAATATTATAAAATGCTACATAAAATTTCTTTGTATTTTCGTTTACTGGCCGCTTTCTAACCTAAATCTTTGTTTGGAAGTCGCGCACAGAATACCCTAGAGTGACTTCAAGAACAACCAGTCTATTTTAGCGTCAGTAGTGGTACTTGGTAGTGGTACATATACCAGAATAAGTTCCACCCCTACCATGGTACATATACCAAACGATCGCCAAAAATCACAATAATAGACATACCACGAAAAAGCGATAGTACAAAACAGAGCGAAATATTTCGTCGCGTCATTATACAATAACAAAGTTTCTGCTTTCCACATGTTTTTCTCTTTTCCTCTGAATTCTATCGCAATTCTATGCGTTCCAAAAAACGAATTACTCTCGTATCCTCGTGCACATTCGGGTATCTTCGCTCGTTTACCTTTCGTTTCCTCCAATAATAGTTTTGGAATGTACCCTAAGTCACCTAAAACGGAGAGAGCAGAGATTTAAATTTAAACTAGAAACACAATGAAAAGCACAGACAATAGGAAGAGGAAATAACCAGGGAATGGAAGTAACTCGTTACTTGTAACGAAGTTACGGTTACAAGTTATTTTTTTGGTAACTTTACTAGTAACTGCGTTACTTTTTTTCTTTGGTAACTGTAACGGTAACGAAGTTACATTTTTTTGGTAACGGTAACGAATTTTACAGTTACGTTTATCGTTACTTTGCACATGATTGGACACGATACGACACAAGCCACTTACACTGTAAAAAAATTTCGTAAATTTACACATATAATAAATATAAAATAGATTACATGATTAGTTCTGTAAATATAAAAAATCATGCAATTTTACAGAAATTACAGTAATTCCACAAAAATTATGTAAATTTGTTTTTATTGTGTAAATATATCTTATTTTATATTGGAAATTATAGCAGGATATTTTGAATATTTTCTGTAATTATCCAAATTTTAGTAATATTACGTAACATAAAAGAAATTTTTCGCGTACTTTTGTTAAATGTATAATAATATATAGTGCGAAATATATTGTCATATTATCGTTCTTGATAGCTACATATATACACATTGTAATTGTACTTCCACAATCTGCTTAGTTCCAAACCAAGAAATTATTTTTATTTGCATATTGCAAATTTACAAATGTGTGGACGTTTACAACTATTATAGTGGATCTCAAAATTATCCAGCATAATAGTTATAATTTTACACAATTTTTTACAATGCGCTTGAGATTAGAGAAGCCTCTAGGCTCGTCCGCTATGATTGTTGGTCGTCGATTTAAAAAAAAGTAACGGAAAAGTAACGAAAAGTTACTTTCTCAAGTAACGGTAACTGTAACGAGTTACTTTTAAAAATCGGTAACTAGTAACGGTAACTTGTTACTTTTCCTACTCGGTAACGAGTAACTGTAACTTGTTACTTTTAAAAAGTAACTTTCCATTCCCTGGAAATAACAAATGTCAACCGATCAAAAATCATGTATACATGTAGAATGGACGCTTTCTGACAGGCTGCGTTCAGCAGTTTTACAACCGTTTTATGATTCGTCGTGCTGATTGAGGCTGCGGTCCACTTATCGCTTCAAACGCTACAGAGCATTTGTAGCACTGATATGACTGGTACATTTGATGCTTCGGAACGCTCCCAGCAACTCTGATTACGTCATCAATACGTCATCGTTTTTGCTCCCACTTCACTTTCAACTGCCTCACCTCGGGAGGTGGGTTGGCTGGAGCGTTCACGTAGCAATTGTAGCATTCGAAATAGTAATGGACCAATCGGAGCGTAGCGTTTGGAGCATGAGGCGTCGTCTACAATACACGGAGTAAGAAGTAAGAGTAAGAAGTTGACCAATCACAGTCAAATGTGAGAAGAATAATCGACTGTGATTGGTCAATTTCTTACTCTTACTTCTTACTCCGTGTATTGTAGACGGGCCTTAAAATGTAGAATGGGCTTAACATGCTCCTACCATAGCATTTACTCACTCAAACGCGCTCGTTGAAGTGAGTAGGAGCTATAGCAGGAGCAAGCACATTGGAGCATGCTGGAGCATACGACGCGAATAAACCTCATATTATCCCTTCCACCTTCCACCTCCACCATGATCAGTCGTCGCGCTCGTCACGCCGTCAGTTGCTGTTGCGGTTGTCACTGCTGTTAATAGTGTCAATTGTAGTGAGTAGTGTCTAGTGATGAGTTGCATCGCGATATTCGCGATTCAGTCGAAATAGGTCGATTAGGCGTTGTTTGTGCGTAAAGACGTAAGAAAGAGCTTTAATTGTATAGCAACTGCAGAACAGTGCAGCGTCGTGCGGACCATGGGATTCCGCCGATGTGTCCATGGTGCGTGAGCGTCACACCCCCGACGAAATCTTCCGTCTCTTCTGTCGCTCACCCTCCTTCCTCGGTGTGTATATTTTGCGGTGTGATGTGAATGCGAGCTATAAAAAGGTGAAGAGATCCTACGAAAGAACGCTGCGCTGCGGGAGTGCTACGAGAGCCGAGAGTGCAGTCTCCTCTCTCTCTCTCTCTCTCTCTCTCTCTCTCGACGTATCGTCAATCGTCATACGACACACGATTGTATGTAACGCAACGCACCGTGACACAGCCAGCTCTTCGTACGCGAGTACGTATACATAGTACACACATCTCTTGCTATATCCTTAAAGACACGCATGACGTGACGGTGCATGTATGTAGATGCAGACTTACTTGTGTACGCATCCAAGAGAGTATCTTTTATATGGGCACACACAAGTAAGCTTATTTATACACGTAAAATTCCGCTATACCTATTACGTATCGTCATCGAATTAAATATATCACAGTACACATATATGTAAAATTATGTATAGATTGTCTCGAAATGTGCCTGAATGTTTTTCCAATAATAATAATAATAATAATAATAATAATAATAATAATAATAATAGGTATAATAAGTAGAACGAATTTTTGCAAAAATGTATCGAGGTAACAATAATTTTCGAGTTACAAGCAATTGAGTGAAAACACCGAGCTTTTCACAAATTACTTTGAGGAATCGAAGGTATACTATGTTTTTCAGCTCTAATTTTAAATATTTTATTTTGATAGACTTTAACTTATAGCTTAGCGCGCTACGAGGATGTATAAAAATTAAGAATTTCAACGTTTCTATAGATGAATGATGAAATTTACTTTAACAAAGTTTGCTAAGAAAAATCTTCAAGTTAGCCAAAGAATTTGTTACACTGAAAAAAATTATTAAATTTTAATAAATATTTTTTTTAATAGTCCTAGTGGAATATTTACTAAATGTAAACACATATTTATTAAATACAAGAATCATTAGTTTTATTTAATTATCATTTTTTTCATTTATCTAAATATTTATTTATTGTAAATAAATATTCCGCTAGGACTATTCGAGAAAATATTTATTAAAATTTAATAAATTTCTTTCTCAGTGTATAAAAAGATATTAAATTTTTGAAATCATTATTATAATATAATGATAATAGTAACAATAAAAGTTAGTATCCAAAATGTATCAAATCAAAAGTATTCTGTTCGGAGAATATTTAATATCACAGCGACTTTGTTCTAGGTAGAATTGCTTGCCAGATGTGAGTCATCCCTATATCTTTATATACATATACATATATATATGAATCATGTGATTTTCCTCAGCAATGTACTTTTTTCAATCATTCTGCTTGTAAAATATATATCAGCAGAAATATTTATTTATTCGTTATTTTGATGATCCTTTTCTATCTTCTTATATTTTTTTAAGATCAGTTTTCTTCCAGAATTATTTATAACTAGAAATGTAGCATTAAATAATAAAACATTGAGATACAAACATTCGGATTATGCTACAGCAATTTTTAATGTAATATATAGTGATGTATTTAAGAATAATAATGCACAATGAACAATATCTTCAACCAAGTTAGTTGATTCACGCTCAATATGAACTATTGCTAATAAAAACACTTTGTCATGTATTATTTCTATAATTGACTATTAACAATGAAACTTCGAAAATGATATGTGACAAAGCACTTTTATTTTCATTGATTAATTATAACTATATTAATCATTGCTCTTTTTTCTTGGAAGGAAATGAAAATAATAAAAATAAAATTAAAAAATAATAAGTAGATTAGGACAATTAAAATAATAAATCAGTTAAATGCTTTTATACACACAAAAATATTCAATATTTTCTCAAGTAAATTGATATTAACGGCATCGCGTTTTGATTTCAATTTTAATGTCAATTTTAAATGAACAGATAAAAAATTTTAAGGGGGGAGATATCTATTTATTCTTAAATTACCCCCATATTATAACTTAGACCCCCCCACTATTGCAAATCAAATACGCAATAGATAAAAAATTTAATGGTCTTAATTTGCTAATTTTTTGCTCAAAAACGAATTTTTTTGCTCCAGTTTGTTTTAAGCTATTTAACCCAAAAGTGATCTCATTATAATAATTCTCGTTAACACTAGAACCGCGGGTCTAAATTAATCCAATCGCGATTCAAGGAAAATCTAGTCTTTAGGGAAGGTTGTCAGTGATGTCACCATAAAAGTAAATTTACTTGTAATTAATTATGATTATTTATGAAAAGTCATAAAAATTTTTAAGTACAAATCCAGATTAACACGAAAAGAAGAACTATCAGATGAGTCAAAAATGGCATAGCCGCAATTCTAGTGTTGATTATATATGAAAAAATAATGTTTCATGAAATATGTCCTCGGAATAGCAATTCTATATAATTGTATAGTTAGATGTGTTTAACAAACAGAAATAAATTTCAAAATGTACTCGAAAACGTAGTTCGGATTGTTCCCTCTCTTTTCATCATTGGAATAAGAACGAATAGCTGGAATCAGAATTAGAAGCTATTTATAAGCTTGTTTCCTCCGGAAATTCATGCACGGGAAAGTTTTCACATTTCCATTTTTCCTTGGCGAAATATTGAACGAATGCATGCGACGAGCTACAAAGTTATCAGACCGTAAGTTTAACGAACCGGGGAAGAACATCGTAGACTATCGGTACCTTCGGTGCAGAGTGTTACGGGTGTTCACAAAAAAATGTGCTACGAATAAGCGAGAGTCATCACGTCTCAATGGAATCAATAATGTGATGAATGATTCGCTTACGCTGGCAAGTTTTCCGCTAAAAGCTCGATGTAAATATAACGTTTATTGTGACATTGCTTTTTCCCGTTTTATTTATTTTGTTTTTGATTCATAGATAATATCAAGCTTTTATAATGTATACGTGAAGTTACGATATAAATAAAAACGATACAAATACTTTTAGTAAACAGAGATAAACTTTTTATCTTTTTTATAATTTAATTATTATTCCAGAACTCTGTTTTAATATGTTAAGAGCAAAAAATCGAAAAATTCCGAAATTAGGAATCTATATTATACTGATCATATTATATTGAAATTTTTAATAAAGTAAACAATCCTGATAAAAAATAAGGAAAAAAAATTTTTTCTTTTTAGATAATGATGAACTGATGAATGAAACTAAAAGCAAAGGATCAAGACGATGGATCAGATTGGCAAAAAACAAGCGGTTAACTCACCGGAGACAGCGTTGGCCAACGAGGTTTTCGACCAATTTTGCAACGCCACTACGTTGAAATCTATTCTTGGCTACTACAGACAACTGTGTGAATTACTGAAAATCCGGCCGAATGTCGTTAATCAGTTTTATCCAAAATTGAAAACAAAATTGCGATCGTGGAAGGCACAAGCTCTATGGAAGAAATTTGATCAACGGGCGAATCACAAGTGCTATAATCGTGGCAAAGTATGCCCGAATACGAGGGTAATACGAGAATTTATTTATTAATTTTTACCTTCCAGTTATTTTTTGCATCAATAAGAAAAATTTTTTAATTAAAGTTACTTACATTAGGTTTTGATTATTGGTGGTGGCCCATGCGGTCTACGCACAGCCATAGAAGCACAATTATTGGGAGCGAAAGTCGTTGTGGTGGAAAAAAGAGACCGGATGTCCAGAAATAATGTTTTACATTTGTGGCCTTTCGTCATTCAGGATCTACGTGGTTTAGGAGCGAAAAAATTTTTTGGAAAGTTTTGCGCAGGTTCTATAGATCACATCAGCATTCGGCAATTGCAATGTATTTTACTGAAAGTTGCTTTAATTCTTGGTGTCGAATTCCATGAGAGTGTAAGCTTTGATTCTCTGATTCAACCACCGAATAATCAGGAAGATAGCAGTAAGTAATAATTGACGATAGGATGTCTTAAAATTTCTTCATTATTCTTTATAATATGCTTATTACTAATGTTTTCTATTTAATATTTTCGTTAGAGATTGGTTGGAGAGCAAAGACTTCACCAGCTGACCATCCTGTCTCCCAATACGAGTTCGATGTGCTAATTGGAGCTGATGGTAAGAGAAATACCTTGGAAGGTTTTAAACGCAAGGAATTTCGTGGAAAACTAGCCATTGCAATCACGGCAAATTTTATAAATAAACGGACTGAGGCAGAAGCTCGCGTAGAAGAAATCAGTGGTGTCGCCTTTATCTTTAATCAAAAGTTCTTTAAAGAATTGTATCAAGAAACTGGTATCGACTTGGAAAATATTGTGTATTACAAAGATGACACTCATTATTTCGTTATGACTGCCAAGAAACATAGTTTAATCGACAAAGGAGTTATTCTGCAGGTATATATATATATATATATATATATAACGTACAACTTTGTAATTATAAAATATACCTATTATTTCTCAGGATGGCAATTAAAATGAGAATTATTATTGATTTCTAGGATCATGCTGACACTGCAAAACTACTCGCGAAAGAAAATGTGGATCGTGAAGCCTTAATGTTGTACGCGCGAGAAGCAGCGGAATTCTCGACGGAATATCAAATGATGGATATGGAATTTGCGGTGAATCATTATGGCCAACCGGACGTAGCCATGTTCGACTTTACTTCGATGTACGCAGCGGAAAATGCAAGTCGCATATTGGAGCGTCATGGTCATAGACTGCTCATGATCCTTGTAGGCGACAGCCTCTTGGAGGTAGATGATATATATACTTGTATTATATACTTATCACATCATTCAAAATTATATAAAATCCAGATCCATTCTTTTAGACGCAGAATATTAAGAAAAAAATTTCAAAAATTCAATAATGTACATAATGCATACAATGTGGATAGATTATTATTACTCTTTTAATGTTGTGCGTTTCTTTGATTTTTGTAATTAGATTTTTATTTTTTTGTTTCATTTGATCTTTAATGAAAAACTGAAAGAGAAATGATTGCAGCCATTTTGGCCTACTGGCTCTGGTTGCGCGAGAGGATTTTTGAGCTCTCTGGATGCAGGCTGGACAATCAAAGGTTGGGGAGCTTCGTTGTCTCCATTAGAAGTAATTGCGGAACGTGAGTCCGTATATAGGCTGTTGGGACAGACGACGCCAGAGAATTTGAATAGAGATTACGCTGCATACACTTTGGATCCTCACACCAGGTAAGATATCAATTATAAATGAATAAATCAGTGAGGCTTTAGATATCTAGAAAATGGAGAAACTTGAGTCTTCTCTATAAAGTATAACTGTCCAAATGATCAGCTGTGCAACAATAGTTTTGAAGAAAGCTATAAAGCTATAAAGCAGTTTATTTATTTAGATTATAAGAAAGATTTGTATTAAGTGTCTGTTGCTTTATTAAATACTAATAATTTTAGAATAATTGAATATATTTTATTTTATCTTTTTTTTTTTAAGGTATCCGAATCTAAATATACGTTCTGTAACTCCGATACAAGTGTGCAGTCTTCTTGACACAGACGATCCTGAAAGTATCAAACAGCCTGCAATACAATCTGAAATTGATATTCCAAAGAAACGAAGACGTCGCGGTGAGTTATTAAAAATTATAAATTTATTCAAAATATTAAATTTTAATATTCTTGGAATATTAAAATTTTGGACTCTTACAAAATTACGATTCTCAACTTTTTTTGTTACATTTAAATTACTACTTGATTTTTTAATATATTAATTTTTTTATGAAAAACGAATACACTTTTATGTAGATCTGAGAGCTGACACTCAAGTTCATCCAGACACACTGCTTCGCTGGCTACAAAAGCAAGTTGCATTGTACGATAAAGTTCACATCGAAGATATAGGTGCCTCTTTCAAGGATGGTTTAGCTATTTGTGCAATCATTCATAGATACCGTCCAGATTTAATAGATTTTTATAGCTTAAATGCGAAAGATGTAGTGAAGAACAATCAACTCGCCTTTGATATATTGGAAAAGGAATTGAACATACCGCCGGTAAGTATATTATATTTTTTATCTTTTTGTTCAAATATCATTAATTTGGATACCAGAAGGTTTGCGGGTTATCACCATGTTTGTATCCATTGCTAATGCCATAGTATTAGCAATGGATAAAAATATAATGCTAAAAATGAAGATAATACCCGTGGAAGCCTAAAAATTTAAAAAGCATTACTAATTTGGATATATTTTTTTCCTTATTTTTAATACAAAATATTTTATTTATAGTACAAAATATTTTTAAAATAATTCAGTATTGTCTAATTTTGTGAATGTGCGTGCATGGGTGCGTGCGTGTGTGTGTTTTCAATTCAATCAAATCATTTGTATGTTTCATGATTCTTAAGCAGAACACCAAATAGAGAAAAAGTATAGCAATAATTGCATATTAGCTTATTTTTTGAACTGTTAATCTATTTATTTTAGATATTGAACAAATATTGTATCATAAAATTTACTGTATAACATTGTTATGTTTACAGATTATCTAGATAATAAAAGAAAAATAATTATGCTTACAGATAATGACAGAGGAAGAAATGGTTCAATGCGATGTTCCTGACACACTTGCCATGTTTTCTTATTTAACACAAATATATGAAGTTTTCAGGGGCGAAATTCCATATATTAAACATTCAAAATTGGTAAGTAAAAATAGAGGATATATGTCTAGTCTTTTTGAAATAAAAGAGACTCTAAAGATTCTTACTTAAATTAGCATGGGTTAAATGTTATTTTTCTAAAAAGTTTCAGAAAATACTTACGTGAATATCTTCCGTACAAAATAATTGTAAAATTAAGCGCCATTTATTGCAACAGGAACCAGAAATGGAAGAATGCACTGCCCATTCGAAGCAACTGAAACAATGGACGTCTGAGGAAAAGGTTATGAAAACACGGCACTCGCGCTCACGGCATGCTAATGAAAATGTGCTCTCTTACATGGATAAAAAGGACAATACGATTAGCCGGCGTTCTCGAAAAAGGCGGAGTACCGAGAAAGTGGGCGCGACAATGGTAAGTAGAAAGAATTATCCATCCATTTACAGTTTAAAATGACCAGTGCTTGTCTAAGATACAGACAAAGGCTACGTTCAGCAGAAAAAGCAGCTTTGCAATTGTTGTAAAATTCTTTAATATGATTGGTCTTGCCCTTAGTTCCTCACTGGATCTAAACGTATAAGCCAATCATATCTGAAAATTTTACAACAGTTGCAAAGCTGCTTTCTCTACTGAACGCAGCCAAAGTCAATGGCAATTTCACAAAAATTCAAATTTTTGGAAAAAATCCAATTTTCCAGAGAAAAAAATTTGTTTATCCATAAACAAAATTAAATTTTTTTTTTATAAATTTATAGATCTAATATAGCAGTACGCAACTTTTAGAAAGTTGCTGAAATAACTAAATTATATCTTACGTAGTCACGATGGCAGAAGATCGAAGATGTTATGTGTCGCGGGATATTCATATCATTGTTAATCGTATTTATTGGACTTACCTTTACCGTACTTCGAGAGGAACCGGATACATACTGAATGCGCGTAATCTACTATAAAAGAGAATAAATCCAAAATTGGTTATGTTGTCAGAGATCTTTTATACAATTTTATATTGTTAATATAATTATTATTTTATGAAATTTTGTGTAAAAGGGTCTAGCCGAATAAGCATATGAAAAATGCCCCCAAACCAAATCCAATTTTGAGTACCTAACATTGTTAAAATCGATAAAAGATTATTTTACACCAATTCAAATTTCAACCTGTTAAATTTATTCATGTAGCAGCAATGACGAAAAACGTCAATTTCAATTTTTTATTTTTATTTTCCTATCGTGTGAATTAAAAAATCTAAAAAAATTTGACATACTTTTTAGCATGATATTACATCTAAAAAGAATTTTTTTAGATTTTTTTACGAAAAATGTGAATTAAAAAAAATGAAAAAAGTTTTAAATGCATGTTTTTTATTGAAGATATTCAAGTACTGTCTTCAATAAATTATGGTGAATTAATCATTCCCTAATGAATGAAATATGCCGTATTCAGATTTTTTAAAGGTGTGGAGCAGTTTCTCTCAAAAACTAAAATTCAGTTTTTTAATTTTTGAAACAATGTTCGGTAATTATTCAGTTTAACTACCCCACCTCAAAAATCAATAAAAATAGGCTTATTCGATGCGTTATTGAATGAAATGAAAGAATCTGGCAAAAAAAAGTGTCGCTCTGCCC